GTGTCACTGATTTAATCTAAACATACAATAAACTAATGAAAACCAAAGTTACAACAGTAGCATTTGTTTTGCTTTGTTTTTTTTTTTTGCCAGGATTTTGTCTTTCCAGTTTTCTGGATTCAAAAGGAAAGAAATAACCCTAGTAGTGTCAGTGTGGCTCAGCTGACTAAGCACAACACAAAACTGCAGTGTTCTCACTTCACCTAAAATACTTCTCATATCAGCTCCCTGTTGCTTTTCACGGCAATGCCCGAATGACATGAGTGCAAAACTAGTTGAAACGCACACAGTTTGCCTTCGTGGACATGTCGGTTACAGCGTGTTCCCACTTGCTTAATACAGAGAACAGTTATCATTCATCCATAACAAGCTCAATTCTGTCTGTAGTTAATAAAAATCATATATTTTCTTTGATGGCAACAAATAAGGAATATAATTCTGATCTGTGATGGCTGGTTGATTTCTCGTGTTTCGTGCTGAGCACAACTGGCATGGGCTGTCCCCTGACTGATTAAACAAGACAGTGAAGCTGAAGAGGGAGGATAGAAAGATCCAGAACAGGAGGGCAGAGGGGAAAGATGTGAGAGGACTGTAGCAGAGAAAAATATTGTGCAAAAGGGACCAGATAAAACAGTTTTAAAAGCGGTGAAGGAGAGAAATGCATGGGAGTGTTAAGGTACAAAAGGGGAAGGTTGAACAGGTGAGAAGATGAATGCTGACAAAAAAGGAGAGGAGTCAGAAAGAAAGGATGTGAGTGTCAACAATGCAATTGAATTGAGGCCCAGTGGAGAATAAGGGAGACAGATCTAATCTGATAATGATGGGGAAGCAGGTAGGAGACAAAAAAAGAAAGAAGAAGAAAAAAGAGAAGAGAAGAGAAACACTGATGTTGGGGAACAAAAAGTACTGTGAGATAAGAGACATGAGGAGGGAGAGAGAAAAGGAGATCAATGAAAGAAAGAGAGAGAAAGGTGGTATAAATGCCAGCAAAACCCAATAATATCATTTTGATGTGTAGCAACTCTGCCTCTCCATCCCTCTGTGCAAATGCATGTGTGTTGTGTGTGTGCGTGCATGTAATATCCTGTTACATGCTGTGCAAAATGCTCCAGCAGAGTGTATCATAATCTGAGAATGAGATCTTCATTGAACAGTGCCTTTCATTTTGCACAGCATTGCTTCTCATGGTGTTTGTGTGTGTGTGCATGTGTGTTTGAACTATGCAATAATAAAAACCAAAGACAGACCAGCACCTCTTATGCTGCACATTGCAGCACTGAACAACAAAATGGACATGCTTGGTGTAGCCAACGTAGCTAAACTCGGTCTCATAGGGATGCCCATGCTGCAGACTGTCACTACTGGCATCTAACTCCCCCTGCATTATCTGTACCATATACCTGAACAGGGTTGGAGCCAATCCCAGCTGACATTGAGCAAGAGCCGGGGTACACCCTGTACAGGTCGCCAGTCTATCACAGGGCTGACATGCAGACAAACACCCACACTCACTGCTATAGACAATTTAGAGTCACCAATCAACCTACATGGCATGTCTTTGGACTGTGGGAGGAAGCCTACATGGGCACAGGGAGAACATGCAAACTCGCTCGGGGCTCAAACCCAGAACCTTCTTGCTATGAGGCAACAGTGCCAACCACCACACCATTGTGTGTATGTGTATGTAACTTTTATTACCTTTAGTGTGTGGAGAGGTAGGGTACAGCCAATGGAAAAATTGATTAAATTTTGGCGCTATGTCATAATTTGGATATAAGAATATTTATTCACCACTGTACAAGCTGGAAAGGCTGCTGACTGTATATGAGCCCCCTTGTGGCCAAAGTGCACAGCTGCACTGATGAGCACTCCGAGCACAGACATAGCTCAGAGAATAGTAGTCTGTTGACAAGGATGCTTTTGTTCCAGCTGTGCATTATAGCTGTGTTTCCACTGTCGGAACCTAACAAGCGGCACACACCCCGTGCTTCCCTTAACCGTCACCCAGCATAACCTCACAGGCTGATGTGTACTGTGCGACTTTACTTTTCCCCTGTATTTTTCCATGTCAGTCTCTGTTTAGAGGAGACACACATGTATCACTCCAAAGTGCTACAATTGGCCAGTTACAGAGACTGAATGAGCTTTTTAACAAACAGCTCTTGAACACAAAGTTTCAGAAATGTGACACCTTCACTGCTTTGGACACGGTCCACTCACTGAAGTCCCCATTTCCTCCCTAAACTAGGGAGTAGATTTCTGTCATGTCTATTTTTTTTTTTGATCAAATTTTAAACAAATAATGATATCAGCACCATTCCAAACGCCAGCAGTAGGTTTTCATGATCAGGTAATCATATTATGAATGTCAAACTATCATAGGAATATTGCTTTTATGGCATTATGGGGAAACTGAGTTGCACCTTGGCAGAGGTTTGCCCTGTCTGAGTGCTGTCTAGTTACCTTTAGTGTAGTTAGAGCCAGACTAGCTGTTTACTGCTGCTTTTAACCCAGGCTAAACCTAATACAAGCATCACAACGTTGATAATTATACCTCAACAATGGATTACATTGCTATTTGTATATGAAAGGGATCAGTGACTGTTCACTACCTGTCCAACACCTAACAGCCAAAGTTAGCGACTAGCTGGTGAACACAGGGGAACATTTAGCAGCAAAAGAGACAAATATTCCCCCTGGGAATTGGTAGAATACAGAAACATTGAATGTACATCCCCCAGCTGGCCAAACACACATCTCCAAATGAATGCTACTGCTGGTCTCTATCTGCTGGATGAGTAATAGTCAACGGTTTCCTACAAAGTTTGCAATATCAGATTAAAAACTACAAATACGTCAATGTTATGTTTAGAGCTTGTGTCTGTTTGTCTTGAGTGGCCAAAAAAACACTTAGTGCAGGCTTAAGGAGCAGAAAAAAATATAAGCAGTGAGAAGATTACACAAGGGTTTAATCAAATCCCCAGATTAGCAAAAGGTTTCTGTAAAGTTATTAAGGCAAGTTATTAAACTCCCAGTTTTAACTTGGGCCAGCTTCCTTCAGTTGTGTGAGCACGGTTTTCCTGTGCAGTGAGGAATTACTAACAGTGTTTCAGTTGTGCTCACATTTGCTCTAACCAATTAAGTAGTTCAGATAATCTGGTTGAACTGTTTTTAGAAACTGACCAAGAACGTTCTCATCTCAGCAGATACAATAAAAAATTTGGACCAAAACAATGAAAATAAGACTGATGCTGTAATATACCAGAATGATCCTTTAAAGCTCTCTGCTGTTGGGTAAACACAAACTTTAAATAAATTAGTAATTATCGCAATTCTTACTCAAGTTACAATCAACAGTGACTTTGAATTAAACATCATTTGCCTTGTACTTTCACCGCCCCTCCACTCCTAACTCCATTTAATCAAGTGGAATTAACAAAAGATCATTTTACATATCTCTCTGTCGGCCTTACAGCAGCCACTCTCAATCTCTTCTCCCGTTGGTATTAGAGTTCCAGTCACGTGCAGTAGCCACAGTGTGCGTGGCTGTATGACCAGCTCAGATTGTGAAAGTGACATCAAACTTGTGAGGAGAAATGAGGGTTCTTTTATCAATGAATGCTTCACCATATATGCAAACACATACATGCATGTGCACCACAGGAGCATGCATTGACTCAGCTCCCTTTTGTTGTGAATTCTAATTCACAGCAGCTGCCTATTACAAACTGATTACCAGTCTATCAGTTCCTGTGTATGGCCTTGTGAAAACACCACAGCAGCATCTACTTATTGATCCACAGATGGAGAGCCCGAACCTCAAAATGCATCCGAATTCCCATCAAAGACCCACTGGAACTTTAACAGACATTTCCAACAACATCCAAGCTGTGGTGTAATGAAAAAAAGTCATAGCATTAAACATGTGGTTAGATGGATGAGTGTGGCTTTGTGGTTTAGCTGGTGGGAGTAATAGCTGCTGTGGGGGCACTCACTGGATCTCATTTCCACAAGATTCCCCATAAATAGTCAATGTGCATTGATTGCAAGTGGCTCCAGTGAAAACCCCAGCTGAATGACCGTAGTACCATTATATCAGTGAAGTGACAAACAGCAAAACAGGTATCATGAAGCATGAAAGCATTTCTGATTGAGTGTTCCAGTCTTACAAGGGGCTGTGTATGTTTGTCCTGTGTATGTGTATTCACATGTTTATGTGTGTGTTCTCTGGGCATCTATTCAATGTCTGGATTATTACTGTGTGTGTATTTAACACTTGGTGTGTGTCTACGCCACGCAAACCAGTGCAGAATGGTTCGTCAGTCCCGCTAAGACTCTCACTAATGTCATTAATTGGCTGGAGCTGACATGCACCTGGGGCCTGTGGTTTATGTCTGGAGTCTGAGGGACTGTGTACACTGTCCACAGAGCTCAGATGTGCCTTTGTTTATATGTGAAGAAAACCACTTCTAAATAAAAAGGCACTACAGGAACAGCTGCTATTATGGGAAATGTACTTTCTTAGCAAAAGCTTTGATGTGAAGATCGATACCACTCTCATGCTTTCACTAAATATGATGCTACAGTGCACTAATTATGATCAGGTTGTGGCTTTACAGTGGTTACAGTTTCTTGACCCAGAGCAGAAACGTGCTTGAGTGGTGAAATAGTCCCACACATAATCTTCTACAAAACCACAAATTGTTGTTTTGACATGTTAACTATGCTACACTACAACTTTTTGCATGAACTAAATAAACAAGACATAATGTCGTAATTAAAAAGCTATAAAGATGCTGGCAGGCAGATTTTGTTACTTTTAGGCGGAGCAAAGCCACCTGTTCTCCGCCTTCCAGTCTCTATACTAAGCTATGCTATTCGCCTCCCAGCTCCACACTTGATGCACAGACATGACAGTGATATCGATACGCTTCTGATTCTTGGCAAAAACACCTGCCTGTGATTCAGTTTGTGACAGTTTGCATGTGTATGTATTTTACCTGAACTTCCCGTGCATGGTAGGCTATGATGAGGCCCAGCAGTATGACTGTAGACAGGCTGATCAAACACTTTAAGGCCAGAGAATACATGGAGCTCTGTAGGGACAAAATTGACACACACACTCTATTAAAAACATGCAGCACAACCAATATACATTTCAGAGTGACTTTGCCACGGCTGGTTTAATATTCTGAGTACAACATGTAGCAAAGATAACACGTTCTCTCTGGTTTAATGTGCCAGATGTCAAATGATGTCCTCTCTCACTCCTCTGCTAAAATGGCTTGTGTGCTGCAGTGGCGATACCTCAGCATTGACATGAAGAACTAACATTTACAAGAAAGACTTTCAAAGGCTGAACACAAGTTGAATGGTAGTAGTCCACCCATCAATATCACTCTGCAGTCGAGCTTTAAATCCTCTGCTTGTTTGGTTTCATAGCGCTTATAATCAATGCACCGGGGAACTTCCGATCAATACAACTCATAGCACTTCAGTGGCTTCTTTAACCCCCTCACCTCACCCACTCAGAGCAGGCAAATCTTACTGGAGTTATCATACACATGTGCACATAGGCCTACACATAGCACATTCTTACATTAGCATATTAACCCAACACAACTGCACACACCTGATCAACTTTAAGAAATGCAGATGGGAGATCAAAAGAAAAACCTGTACTGAATTGTTCTCTCGTGAGTTTACATCTCCATTTCAGAAAATAGAAAAGCCATTAAACACCTGGTCTTAAAAAAAAGATCTTAAAAAGCTGGCAAATAAGAAAGATTCTCTAATTATATGTCATGCAGAGTACTTGAATAATGCTGTGCCACAGCCATGGGATATAGCTATTTATCATTGTCTGATACTGTCCATTAAAATTCAACATCAGGACATCTCATTCTTTGTTCCGGTCAACAGTTTAAACACCGTTTTAAATCAGTGCACAGGGTATGTTCAACTGCAGGTAACCATAGCAACAACACTAATGCCTCACACCGACACTCAGTGTTGAAACTTGCCTAACCATAGAATAAACACACTCCAAACAAGCATGTCAACTGCTTAAGCACAGTTTATTTTATCTCGTTGGTAATTGGCCAGCTGGTGTGCCCTGAAGCGCCCTACAAAACATAAAGGGTTATTTAAAGGAAATGTGATGCCACTTCAGATTTTGGTACTCTTAGCTTTCACCTCATCCATCCCCGTCAAATCAATTAACCACTTTGATCCAGAGTCAAATATCTCATCAACAGGTGGATTGTCGAGAAAGTTTCTATAAATATTGATGTTCCCCAGAGCATGAATCCTACTGACCATCATGATTATGAGATTGACATTTTGTTGTTCAGACTGATGTCTCAACTATTATTGGCTGTATTGCTGTGAAAACTGTTACAGATATTCATGGTTCTCATAAATTATAAAAACATTTAACCCCTGACCCTTCGTTTATTGCCAGACTGTTATATCAGCATTTCTGTTTATCCGATACTTTGGTCTATGGCCAAATACCCATAAAACTAACATTCCCACCAGCCTCGGGTGGTGATGGAAAACCTGCTAAACATCAACATGCATGTATTAGCATTAGCGCTGATAGTGTGTTAGCGTAAGGAAAACAAACTCCCAACACAAAACAGAGACAGACAATAAAAGAACATTTAAAAAGGAAACAAACTTTTAAACTGATTATACAGAGGCTGCAGTCATACAACTGCAGGGAGTACATAACTATAACAGTAAGTAACTAATAAGTGCAATTAATCAGCTACACAAGCTGTATAAAGACCAGTCAATACATCTGGGGGACAGAGTTAATGTTGTGTACTACCTCCGGTGTCAAACATCAACAAATTCTGTATATAATGAACATTACGAGGATATGCCTGGTGTTTTTCATTGAAACTCAAAATCAACCCACTCTGCTCCACCCAGCACCCCCTTTTCCTGCTCCACTACGCTCTACTACAATCTACTATGCTCTTACAAGCTTTTCAGATATTTATCGTTATGAAATTACAGTACATAAAATGAGAATGCAACAAATCTTACTGATCGGACAGAAATAACTGATAATCTAAGCTAAAATCTTTGCACTGCATTTCAATGAGTCTGGGTCACAGGAGGCTTCGACAGCACGTATCCACATTAAGACAAGTTTTGGAGCAGATTTCTACAACAAAAATATTTGAAAAAATACATACTGTAGATTTAATGTTAAGAAATCTCAGTATATAATACATTTTCAGTGAAGAATTTAAATCCATTTGGTGCTCTGGTAATAATTTACAGCAGGATAGAGCATGAAGGAACAAAGTGTAACGGCGAGGCTCCCTGATGTGTTTTTAAACAACAATGGAGCTCAATGGCCCAGAGGAATGGGGTATATCAGCCTTTGACAATGCATGTTAGTCGCATCAGTTCATTATTTTGGTCATTTTGCAGCATTTGCTGACAATAAAACTATTTAATATTGCTAGACCTACTGTATACTTTCTGAGGAAAAGAGATAAGAACCAATAAAAACTAGTCTCAAGGAAACTTTTTTCCTTCTTTTCCTATTGTGTATCTATAAACACAGAGATGCATGAATAAGGGTTAGACTTTTAAAAGAATTTGGATTTTGTCAATTCAGTAATTTTAATTAGCATTTTAAGGTCAGTATTCTTTCCCAAAAACTCTCCCAACCTGTCAAATATTGGAAAAAAAGAATCAGGACAAAGCCACACTCACAAAACTGATTCATTTACCTACATCAGCTCAAGGACTATGTTTTGAATTGCAGAATATAATACACACATACCCCAAAGTGCATTCATTTCCAGGCTCACCAAAGCCACGTTATGAACACTACGGTCTTCAGGAGAAGAGCAGAGCCACCTCAAGACTGCAGCATTTCTGATCAGATATTTCAGCTGTTAAGTAGGATGCTGTTAAACAGTCATCGCCAAACACTCTCTTAAACTGAGAGTGCACTCAGAGTTAGACACGTATTACTCAGCCTTTCCTTCATGATGATTTTAGCAGAATCTACACAGAATTTTGGGTTCATGAATAATATACCGCAAATCAGCCCTCTGGAAAATAGAGTGTGTTAATATGTTACTGTGCCTGGTATTTGTGCGTCACGGCATGAATGATTCTGATTCAACATCACACAAACATTCAGAGACACACATGCAGTCTAATTTATTAGCTTATTAATTATTAATTTTAAAGTTAATCAACCACACTGGTATTGAACTAAAATTTGACCACACAAACAGACAAACACATATGTACACTGTATCGATAGACTCGCTCAAGGAGAGCATTAAGTGAATGTTGTTCATGTGTTGCTCATATCAGTGTGCTTATGGACCACTGCACCCAGGAAAATATCATCTAGGTTTGGCTCTCCATTGATTTCGCCTGTCAGCTCAAAGCTCTAGCCATTTTTGGTCTTTATTTTCTTGTGGTTCTTTTTCCTGTCTTGGTCCGACTCTCCTCTGCCAACATCTCATTTGTACTCACTGAAGCAAACTAGGTGCAAAGGGAGGTAACACTCTTGTGCTCATGAGAAGAATGCAGACCTGGATCTCAGCAGCATCTGTTTAAACACACAGCCACACTAGTGAGCTGAAACGTGATTTGCTTGGAGTTTACATCTTCTCTCGCTGCACTTACCTCCAGACATCTGTTGGCCAGTTTGGCTTTTTTTTTTTTTTCAATTCTGGCCATTACACAGTTAGGAACATTTTGTTTCTGTTTGTTTCTAATCCATTTACTCTGCCTGTATAATGGATGTCTCAGCTGTGATGGAGATGTACATGTGTACATGCCTTCTTTCTGTACACATGGCTTGTCTATACCATTGCCAGTGAGAAGCCTCAGCGCTTATAAGCTGTCAGAGGTCAATTAATTTCTAGTCATTGTAAACCTCTGGTGCAGGTGCTGTTCTAAATGAATGCACCAACTCTAGTTAAAGCCAGCGACAGTGACACTGGGGACTTACTGTGGATTCAGAATGCTTTCAAGTTTTGCACATTTTATTATTTTTCATACTCATCTTAAAATGGATTTGATAAATTTTTTTCTCATCAGGCTACAGACAATACTTCACAAAGGCAAAGCAAAAACAGGTTGTTGGAGTGTTACAAAAATACTTGGAGGGTTTTGTTAATTTATTGAAAATACAAGACTGAAATATCCCATTTACATAAGTATTCAGACCCTTCACTTAGTACTTAGTTAAAGCCCCTTTGGCAGCAACGACAGCCTAAAGTCTTCTTGGAAATGAAGCTGCAAAATTGGCACGTTTCTGTTGGAAATTTCTTCTATTCTTCTTGGCAGAATTGTTCAAGGTCGGCCAGGTTGGATGGGGAGCATTGGTGCACAGCCATTTTCAGGTCTCTCCAGAGATGTACTCAGGTCTCTCCAGGGGTTCAGGTCGGGCCCCCCCTGGCTTCCATGACTTTTCCCGAAGCCACTCCTGTGTTTTCTTGGTGGTTTGCTTCAGGCCGTTGTTTTGTTAAAATGTTAACTTTCGCCCCAGCCTGAGATCCTGAGCACTCTGGAGACAGTTTTCATTCAGAATTACTCCTTATACTTCTAACCTCTGAAGTGCACAAATTAATGTCAAGTGGTAGTTTCACAGGGGGGTATGTGTGGAACTTTCTTGGCCGAGTGCATTGACTTCCTTCTTTCTTATTTGTTTAATCCATATGCAAAGAGAAATGTGTCAATGTGTAGTTGTAAAGAGGTTTGTTTTAACTATTTCTTAATGAACATCAGCAGAGTGTAGTACCTTCCCAGAGCCTTGTGGTTGCCAGGCAACTAGCAGTGTATTAGCACAGATGTAAATAATAAAATTAATGATGGCTGGATTTAAATGACCTGCCTCAATTTCAGGGTCCTGACATGGCAACTGGCACACTGTTATGCCTTACAGGGACAGTTCCCTACTAGGACGGGTCAAAATGGCTGCTGTGAAAAAGGCTTCATGCTAGGACAAACTGTTCATCAAGAAGTAACATAATCACACAAAACTTGATCTAAACCCAAAATGGTTGTTGTCACATTAGATGGTGCTGGTGGACACTCAGCTGTTTTC